CAAACTACACCCTGACGTTACTACTCAAGTATTCAAATTACAACATCACTATAGCAGTCACAAACACAAAGTACATTGGTCCACGAAGTACAGAGCGAAGAGTGAGAACAATGGAGGATGGTGAGATGTTAAATGCTGTAAAAACAGTAACGGAAATAATAATCTGTGTATGCCGAATCAAAATATGACAACCAATTTGAATAATTATTGATTTAGACTGGCTAGCCTTTTGTTTACGTGGAAACATATGAAAGAGTTGTCTCAGGGAATAATGATTATAATGATATCCTAGATATGTTTACAAAAAGTTTTTTCCGACACAGGTAAGTGAATCAGTAGTAATGATGAAGCATATGAAGATAAAGTTCAGAAGATTCATTCACTTTCCTGCGCCGCACCGCTGTCACACAACTACACTTTTTTCATACGTTTTTGACATCTTTTTGATAAACTCTGAGATCTTCCTTTCTCAACTGAGTAATAATTACGAAAGACAAGGTAAATTGTACAAGTGGTGCGTGACGACATCAATAGCTAAAGAGACAACTAGAAAAATTAGAAAGCTACCCTTGACCGCAAGAAATCAACCTAATACCCCATACGGTTAAGTTTCGTACTCACTTTATTGTTGTAGATTCTAAGTTTGTTTCATTTTCGAGTTCTCTTTCGGTAGATTTTAGCCAATTATTTTTAGCAAATTTAGCCATCAGGTTTCAGGTTCGATAACCTCATGCAATTTTTTTTGGAACAGTTTATTTTATTTTTATATGCAAGCATATTTCTATAGAACAGACAGTTGAATTATTTGGAATCCTTCTACCGGAAGTTCATCGTTGATCTACCATCTATATTCAAGTTTATATCTAGTCAGTAGTAGAGTCGAAGTAAACAAAGCCTCGAATGAGTGTTGTGGGGTTTTTTTCGTAAAATCGTAAAATGTATTTTTTGATTAATTGTTACTTTGGCATGGTTGTGTTAGCTGTTTCGATTCATCAGATGGAAAGAGATACCTGAAAAACTAGCTGTCCTGCAGAATCAAAATAAACAATTCATAACTATAGTTTGTAGCACGGGCAACTGTTTCGATATAGATTAGTTTCTGGCGCTCACATACTGCATGACTCGTGACAGTTGGACAGTCTTTAACGCACACATCAGATTGACCATGAACATGGCAATTTTTCGTACTCTAACTTTTTGTTGTTTTACTTTTGGTGTAAGAGGACAGAACACTGGTAAGGAAAATGATTGTATTTCTAAATAATAATTGCATTTGTATGATAATTGTTTTCTTAAAAGTTATTAGAATGCACCAATTTTCATTCGATTTAAAACTAATTATCAATAAAATACAATACATTAGATTGTCGGCAGTCATTCTTCAGTGTTTAACGTGAGAATCTAGAGGGTTTTGCTTCCCGTGAAATATCTGGTACACTAACCAAAGCAAGTAGATCATGTTTCCATAGTCTTTAGCCGTGTCTATTTCATTGTTTTACGGGGGGAAACAGAAAACAAAAGAAAAAATAAAAATTAAGTAATCGTTGGGTAGCCGGGTTAAGTAAAATCACTCTATATTTATTATTAAGATTAGTTAGTAATATAGCAAAGTTAGAAAATGTTATATGATAAGGTAAAATACAATTAAGTACGATTTAATGCTTCATATGTTGATACCGTTTTAGGTTGTGTAGAGAAATCTTTTGTAGGGAGAAACAATCTGAGTATACCTGACAGCAGTTATAATGCCTCATCGCTTTTTGACTATCGATACCAAGCTCATGACGCCAAGCTGTATGGTAAATATGGATGGGCACCAAAAAATAAAAACAATCCTGGTGATTACCTGCAGATTGATCTCGGTACTCCACGTGTTATTACTGCTGTAGCAACACAAGGAAATGGTGGTGATCCAGATAGCAAATATCATAAAATCGTATATGAGTGGGTGAAAAGTTACA